AAAAAAAAAAAAAAAAAAAAAAATGCACATCGTCTAGGATCCCACATCTTCAATTCTAGGTATCTAGCCTAAAGAAAAACTTGCACAAAGATACAGCTACAAATATGCTCATTGCATCATATTTATTAATATTTTTAATAGTAATCATGAAAAATTGGAAATAACTTATTTCTTCCCAATAAAAAAGAAATGGCTTTTAATTAAGATATACCCATTTTACGTAGAGCTATTTGTTTATTTTTAGAGACATGGCCTTGCTCTGTTGCCCAGGCTGAAGTATAGTGGTCTGATCATAGCTCACTTCAGCCTCTATCTCTTAGGCTCAAGTGATCCTTGTGCTTCAGCATCCCAAGTAGCTATGATGACTGACAGGTATATACCACCACAACCAGCTAATTATTTTTAATTTGTTATAGAGACAGTGTCTTGCTATGTTACCTAGGCTGGTTTTGAACTCCTGGGCTCAGGCGATCCTCCCACCTTAGCCTCCCAAAGTGCTGGGATTATAAGCATGAGCCACTGTGCCTGGCCTATGTAGCTATTTAAAAGAATATGGAAAATGGGTAAGTACTGATGGAAAGGTCTTAAGGACATATTAAATGGGAAGAAAAAGCAAATTGTGTAACAACATATACAATATGATCCCCAATTATGTTTTTAAATTTTTTAAATGAATACATATAAATATATTGAAATATAAAAAAAGTGACTGGAGAAATAGCTAATTGGATGGAGAGACTAGAAATACTTGAGGATATATTTCTCTCAAATGGTGTAAGAAAAACAAATGCAAGGAAACAACATTATAAGCAAGGAAATGTGATTCTAGAAATCACTGGATTTGCCCTAAAGAGTATTTCCCAGGTCACAGTAATATAAACACTTGATTTTCAGCTTTTACACTCAAACCATCAACAAAGCATGGAAGACTTAATTATAGCTATAGAACAAACAAAATGTTATCAGTCTTGACAATATCATCATAGTATATTTGATAGAATGTTGAAGGGATTCAAGAGATACTGACCCAGCCTGAGCAAGAGTGAGATTCTTTCTGAAAAAAATAGAAAAATTAGCTGGGCATGGTGGCACACACCTATAGTCCCAGTTACTCGGGAGGCCGAGGCATGAGGATTGCTAGAGCCCAGGAAATTGAGGTTGCAATGAGCTATTACAAGGCCATTGCACTCCAGTGTGGGCAACAGAGCAAGACTTTGTCAAACAAACAAACAAACCCCAAAAAAATCCATATATATATATACTGTCAATAGTTGTTGGAATAAGAAATAAAATATTGAACATTTTAGTTTTTTAGTCCAGGTTCCAAAGGTATCTGTGAAAAGTGGTAAATCTATTGGGAAGATAAAGGCAAGCAGAGATGCTGAGGGCAAGATTTAATTATACATTTGGTAAGTAAGGAAATAGCTGTAACCGTGAAGAAATAGATGAAAGAATGGGAGAGATGGTGTTGTCAAAAGACAAAATTCCAACAAATCTAGCTTAAAGATCTCAACTGGCTTTATTTGCAATTTTAAATTTGGGCAACACTTCATTCCATAAAGTAGAATAAGTGTTCTGATGCGCTGAGCGGAAGAGGTTGCCTTTACAGACAGAGAAAGGCTAAAGAAAGCAGACAAGCAAAGAACGAAGAGGGTGTTAGTCCTTTCTTATAAGGCGAGGACAGGGAGACAGAATACAAAAATAACTGATTAGTTTACATCAGCCTACTTTTTTTGTGAATGGTTAAAGCAGAGGGAACTTCATTATCATGTCGATTGAACATTTAAACTGGCCTGTTTGGTGGGCCAGGCGTGGTGGCTCACGCCTGTAATCCTAGCACTCTGGGAGGTCGAGGCGGGCAGATC